TGTTGGGACTTGAGTCATGCATACGCAGGTGCCCAGCAAGCTCCTGGGGCCAGGATTCAAACTGTGCAGTTACCAGTGTAGGATCTATTATGGCTCCCTTAATCACCAGACTGTGGGGCCAGACCCTAAAGAAAGGTTTTTCTAATGGTTAAGATGGTAAAATCTGGGGCCAGCAGGTAGCACAGTGGTTAGGGTGCTAGACTCCCACATGGCTGACTGTGGTTCAACTCCTGGATCTGGCTACTTGAAATTCATGCTCGAGTGCATGTGTGTGCGTGCTCAAAATCCTAAGAGGAGAATGGAGGAGAAGGGATTGCAACTTGGCTCTCCCCTGGAGGGGGGGATTTGTCATTTTCCTTCTCACTCTCTCTCTGTCTCTTTGGCAAGCACACGTGCCCTAAGGTAAAAAACCTTTAAAAAAATGATAAATTCTATGTTATGTGTATTTTACCACAATAAAAAAATCATTTTTAGGGGGCCAGCTGGTGGCAGGGGGTGTTAAGGCAGTGGGATCCCACATGATTGACTGATCAGTTTGAGTCCTGACTCTGGTGGCTTGAAAATCACACTGGTGGGACCAGCAGTTAGCATAATGGCTATGTTACTGAATTCCCATGTAGTCGACCACGGTTCGAGTCCTGGACCCGGTGGCTTAAACTCACGCCGGGCGCGTATGTGTGCATGCCCAGGATCCTGAAAGGAGAATGGAGGAGAAGGGATTATGGCGTGGCCATCCCCCTTGTGGGGGGATTTCTCGCTTTCTGTCTCTCTGTCTCTCTCTGTATTTCTGGAGAGCGTACGCACCCTATAGCAAAAACCTCTCAAAAAAAAAAAATTACAGGGGATCAGCAGGTGATGTGGTGGGTAAGGCACTGGGTACTCCCACATGGCTGACCACAGTTCAAGTCCTGGACCTGGTGGCTTGCTCTCACCTTCTCTCGCTCTCTCTAGTCAAATTAAAAATGAATGAATGAATAAGTAAAGTTAAATAAATAATTTTTAAAAGTACATAAAGAAAATCACACTGGGTGTGTGTGCGTGTTGCCCAAAATCTCAAGAGGAGAATGGAGGAATGGGATTACAGTTTGACCATGCCCCCTGGGGAGGGGTGATTTCTCACTTTCCCTCTCTCTGTTTCTCCCTAGTGAGCACACTCTCCCTAAAAAAATAAAAATAATAGTTTTTAAAAAGTACCAGGAAAATCTTCTTGACTTTAGCCTTGGTAATGGGCTCTTAGATATGACACCAGAAGCACAAGGAATCAAAGAAAAAATAGATAAATTAGACTTTATCAAAATTAAAACCTAGACTGATCCTGTAGTCTAGTGGCTAAGGGAGGTGGCGCCTACGTGGCTGACCATGTGGTTCAAATACCAGCTCCAGTGGCTTAAAAAACACACTGGGTGCATGTGCATGTGTGCATCCCAACAGGGTGGAGAAATGAAAGAGAAGAGATTACAGCAAGACCGTATGACAGTGTGTGTGTGTGTGTGTGTGTGCGTGTGCGCGTGTGCGTGTGTGCTGAGGGTGCTTTCTTCCTGTCCTTTCCTGTCTCTGTTTCTGTATGGCAAGCACCTGCACCCTCTGACAATTGAAAAAAAAGAAAAAGAAAAACATTTTAAACTTTCTGAGCACCAAAGGACACTGGAAAGAAAGTGAAAAGACAGCCCAAAGGATGAAGGAATTTTTACAAATCATGTATGTGATAGAAGTCTAATACCCAGAATATATAAAGAACTCCTATAACGTAACAATAAAAAGACAATCAGCCTAATTTAAAAATGGGCAAAGAACTTTCATAAACATTTCTCCAAAGAATATATACAAACAAAGGCCAGCAGGTGGTGTAGTGGTTAAGGAGCTGGATTCCCACATGACTGACGGTGGTTCAAGTCCCAGACCCAGCGGCTCGAAAATCATGCCAGGCACATGTATGTGTCTGCCCAAAATCCCAAGTGGAAAACGGGAGGAGAAGGGATTATGGTATGGTTATCCCTCTGGGTGGTGATTTCTTGCTTCTCCTTTACTGTCTCTCTCTGTCTCTCTTCAGCGAGCACACATGTGCTATGGCAGAAACCCAAAACAAACAAAAAAAAGAAGAAGGTATATACAAATGTCCACTAAGCACATTTAAAAAATACTCAACATCACTAATCATTAGGGAAATGTAAAATCAAACATACACCCATTGAGGTGGTTACTATAAAAAACAAGCAAGCAGGGACTAGCAAGTGTCAGAAAGGATGTAGAAAAAGTGGAACCCAGGGAACCAGCAGTTAGCGTAATGGCTATGTCGCTGGACTCCCACGTAGTCGACTGCGGTTCGTGTCCCGGACCCGGTGGCTTAAAACTCACACCGGGCGCGTGTGCGTGCGTGCCCAAGATCCCGAGAGGAGAATGGAGGAGAAGGGATTGCGGCGTGACCATCCCCCCTGGGGGGTGATTTCTCGCTTTCTGTCTCTATGTCTCTCGCTCTGTCTGTCTGGCGAGCGCACGTGCCCTACAGTGAAAATCTCTCCCCCCCCAAAAAAAAAAAAGAAAAAAGAAAAAGTGGAACCCTGAAACACAACCGGTAGAAATATCAAATTATATAGCTGCAATACAGTTTGGAAATTCTTCAAAAGCATTAAACATAGTAGAATTACTATATGATCCAATAATTCCATTCCTAGATGTAAACCCAGAAGAACTGAAAATAGGTATTCAAACAATTGCACACACATTCATGTTCACAGCAGCAGTATTCATAACATACAGAAAGTGGAAGAATGTCCATTGAATGATGGACGGAGAAAGAAAATGTGGTATTTCCATACAGTGGACTATTACTTAGCCATAAAAAGGAATGAATTACTGATACATGTTATAACATGGGTAAACCTGAACGCATAATGTGAAGTGAAAGAAAGCAGACACAAAAGGCCACAGTGTATGATTCCTCTATACGAAACGTGCAGTTTAGACATAGCCATAGAAATAGGATGCTGATTAGTCATTGCCAGAAGCTAGGGAGAGAGGGGCTGGCAGGTAGCATGGTGGTTAAGGGCACTGGACTCCCACATGGCCAACCGCAGTTCAAGTCCCGGAACTGGCCACTTGCTTTCTCACTTTCCATCTCTCTCTCTGTCCCTCTCTGGTCAAATTTTAAAAATTAATTAATTAACTAAATTTAAAAATAAAATAAATAAAATTAAAATAATTCTTTTCTTGGGGAGGGAGAGGTTTTTTGTTTGTTTGGTTTTGGTTTTTGGTTTTTGGGGGTTTTTTTTGCTATAGGGCGCATGCACTCACCAGACAGAGACAGAGAGACAGAAAGTGAAAAATCACCCCCCAGGGGGATGGCCATGCCGCAATCCCTTCTCCTCCATTCTCCTCTCAGGATCTTGGGCACGCACGCACACACACCCGGCGTGAGTTTAAGCCACCGGGTCCAGGACTCGAACCGCGGTCAACTACATGGGAGTCAAGCGACATAGCCATTATGCTAACTGCTGGTCCCAAATTAAAATAATTCTTAAAAAAAAAAAAAAAAAAGAAGCTAGGGAGAGAGATGGTTGGGGAATGACTGCTTAGTGGCTGCAGAACTTCTCTGGGTGATGAAAATGCTCTGGAACTAGCCCGATGATGGCTGCACAGCCTCGGGAATGCACTAAAAGCCAGCAAGTCATGCACTTGAAAATGATAAACTTTCTGTTATGGACATGCCGTCTCAATGTTTAAAAAGTACTAGAAGCCCAGCATGGCAGCACACTCTGGACACGGCTATTCAGCAGGTCCATGACACATGAGAGGCCCCAGTTTGATTCCCCACCTTCCCTAAAAAGTCCAGTGTGTTGGGGCCAGGCAGTGGCACAACTGGATCCATGTGGGAAAGGTCCTAGGTTCATGTCCTGGACTCGAACTGTAGTCGACTATGTGGGAGTCTAGCGACATAACCATTATGCCATCTTCTGGGCCCACACAACCTTTTCTTTTTTAAAAAGAATTATTTTATTTAACCAGCTTCCTTCCTGCCTGCCTTCCTGCCTCTCTCTCTCTCTCTCTCTCTCTCTCTCTCTCTCCCTCCTTCCCTCCCTCCCTCCTTCCTTCTTTCTTTCTTTCTTTCTTTCTTTCTTTCTTTCATTCATTCATTCATTCATTCATTCATTCATTCATTTTTTATTTGACCAGAGAGGGACAGAGAGAAGCAGAGAGAGATAGAGAGAGAGAGGGAAAGTGAGAACCAAGCTGGCAGGTCTGGAACTTGAATCACGGTTGGCCATGTGGGAGTCCAGCACGCTTAACGCCCCCCCTGGCGGCCCCCCTGCACAGTTTTTTTTTTTTTTTTTTTTTGCTATAGGGCGCATGCACTCGCCAGACAGAAAGAGAGAGAGAGACAGAAAGCGAGAAATCACCCCCCAGGGGGGATGGCCACACTGCAATCCCTTCTCCTCCATTCTCCTCTCGGGATCTTGGGCACGCACGCACACACGCCCGGCGTGAGTTTTAAGCCACCAGATCTGGGACGTGAACCATGGTCGACTACGTGGGAGTCCAGCAACATAGCCATTACGCCAACTGCTGGTCCTCCCCTGCACAACTTTTTAAAAGGTAGCTCTTAATCATTTTTGTATCTGAATTCCTTTTAAAACCTGATGAAAGCAGTAGATATTCCTTGGAGAAAATATGTATACACATATATTTTAAGTGGTTCATGGATGCCCTGAAGTTCATTCATGGATAAAGTAAGTTAGGAATCTGACTTATTATCAGGATGAAAAAAATAAAGTTATAAAATTAATTGAAATTGTTTTATAGATAACTCACTTTAAAGATACAAGTATGTGCTCACTTTGGCAGCACATATACTAAAAAAGATAGAACTATGCCAGAGATAAGTTATGGCTGATGACTGCAAAGAACAATGATTTGTTTCCTGTTTTATTAGTAGCCTATGTCAAGCACGATGATTTTTTTTAATTTAATTGTTGCCTGTTCGAAATAGGGAAAGCCAAACATACCTTTGACTCGACAGAGGAACAGCCTCCAGATGTTGGGCATTTCTCTTCTCTCGGTCTGATCACAAAAGCCTGAGCAAATCGTGAATGCTTCAAGATAGCTGCTGTTTCTTCATCCACTTCAACAACCTCACCTTCCTAAAGGATAACATGAAGACACGTATTAAGGGCCAGCTGGTAGCATGGTGGTTAAGGTGCTGGATGCCACATGGCAGACTGTGCAGTTTGAGTCCTGGACCCGGTGTCTTAAAAAACACACCGTGGGGGGACCAGCAGTTAGCATAATGGCTATGTCACTGGACTCCCATGTAGTTGACCGTGGTTCAAGTCCCAGACCCAGTGGCTTAAACTCACTCCGGGAATGTGGGCGTGCATGCCCAAGATCCCGAGAGGAGAATGAAGGAGAAGGGATTGCAGCGTGGCCATCCCCCCTGGGGGGTGATTTCTGTCTCTCTGTCTCTCTCTGTCTTTCTGGCCAGCACACGCATCCTATAGCAAAAACCTCTCCAGAAAAGAAAAGAAAAAAAAAAGGTATTCATGTCATATATTTTTTTTTCCAAGAGTTTTTTTGCTATTAGAGCATGTGTGCTTGCCAGAGAAAGAGACAGAAAGTGAAAAATCACCCCCCAGGGAGGATGGCCATGCCACAATCCCTTTTCCTCTACTCTCTTCCCAGGATTTTGGGCACACATGCACACATATGTGCCTGGTGTGAGTTTGAAGCTAGCAGGTCTGGGACTCAAACTGCAGTCGACCGTGTGGGAAGTTAGTGATATAACCATTATGCCATCTACTGCTCCCCCGCCTCCCATTTTTTTAAATTTTCTAGAGGGCACGTGTGCTCACTGAAAAGAGACAGAGAGGGAAAATGAGAAAGCACCTTCCATGGAGGATGGTCATGCCGCAATCCCTACTCCTCTGCATCTCCTCCCAGGACCTTGGGCATGCATGCGCATGTGCCCAGTGTGTTTTTCACAGCTAGGTCTGGGACTCATGTCATGAGGTCAGCCACGTGGGATCCAGCCGCTTTCACAAACACCACTGGCTGTCTGTACCATATTTTATTTAACTTTTCTGTATTAGCAGCCTGGTCATATGAAGCTTAAGATGGCTAGATCACACATAGCCCACTGCATGGTTTGAGTACCAGACCCGGCGTCTTGAGAAACATGCCAGGCACTTGTGCATGCATGCTCAAACTCTTGGGACAGGGATTGGAAGAAAAGGGACTGAGGTGTGGTCACCCCCCAGGCGGTGCTTCCTTACTTTCTCATCTCTGTCTCTCTTTCTTGTCTCTGCTGAGCAAACATGCAAAAATTTGTCTTACAGCAAATTTTAAAAAATCTTTGGAGAGATTTTTGCTATAGGGTATGTGCACTCACCAGAAATACAGAAAGCAAGAAATCACCACCACCACCACCCCCGAGGCAAGATGGCTATGCCTCAATCCCTTCTCCTCCATTCTCCTCTCGGGATTTTGGGCACACACACTGTACATGGCATGATTTTCAA